CGCATTCTGTTTGGGATTCTGAAAAGGAGAAATGTGAGAAAAGTACCCTTCACCCCCAGCCTGCAAATGGCATGGCACACGCATCTAGGAGCTAATCTTTTCCGCTTGTAACATTTCTCGACAGATTTATCAAGGGGAAAGGTCTCTGGTGAAAGACAACTTTTACCTTAACAAAGACATCACGATCGAGATCCCCCCCAAGCCCGTGCGCGAAGCAACTGTCGATGTTACATTCGAAATCAATGAGAGCGGCCTGCTGACGGTGACAGCAGTGGAGCCCACATCCGGGCGGCAGGTGATGGTGGAAGTCACGCCCAAGGAAGCGCACCTGAGCGAGGCCGACATCCAGGCTATGATCCAGAAGGCCAGTCTCTACAGGTGCGAGGACAATGAAGCTAAAAGGAAAGTCGAGGAAGAGCTCCGAAAACGAGGAGTTGTTTTCTAGTTTTTGTAGACGGTTTAAAGAATTTTTTCGTTTTCCCTCATATTTTCTTTTTTTAGCGAGATTTTAGATGATTCTTCAAACTTAAGTGTATGCATATTCGATTGTAGTAATACTTGTTTAATTAGTTTGTTAAAACTAGAAGCTCAGTTAAGGTTGAACGGCCTTTAATTTCATCTTTCCACAAATCTTCACTTGACAATAAATTCAAATAGATAAAGGATACATTGCTGCTATTTTGTGATTTGAGCCTCCTCGAAATAATTCTAGAGCCCATATTCAATACTGCCCGTGCCGAGGCGAACACAGTGTATCACTGATAACAGCATTTGTTCTTTTAAAGGATTGTTTGAAAAGTACGCCCGTGTTTCCTATATATTCATTCGTTAAACTACGGGAGCTCAGGCGCCTGCGAGACTCGGGGTAGGCCTCCCCGCACTACTCGCATGCACTGCAGGCGGAGTGTTGCCTACCATCCAGGCGGCAAGAGACCGTGCATTGGCTGAACCAGGCAGTTTCGTAACGTTGAACTCCGTGACGTTAACGGGGACTTTAACCCAGCACTATGGCTAGTATTCTGTCTTCTTTTCGTAGCACGAAAATCATTAGGAAGAGGTTATGTGTAGGCAGTCTGAATTTTGAAGCACTCCGGAAATGTGAAAATGCTTTTATTTTTACCACACGCAGATTTTTTTTTTTTTTGGGGGGGGGGGGGAGTAGGCATTTCGAATTCTGCGTAAAACTTCCGTATTTAGCCTACGGAATTTCTAACAGTGTTGGCATGCCCGCTGAGCTCTGCGGGTGGTGTGGGTGGCCTATCTCTGAGTCGGAGGTGTTTGGCCTCGTCTGCATCGTCTGTACTCCGATTACTAATCAAGAATACATCTGATTTTTTATTTATTTGAAAAACAATAACCAAACTTTTAAACGAAAATGTTTTAAAACTACTGCCCTCCGAATTTTGTATTTAAAATTAGCTCCTATCGAAAATTTGAGAACACGGCTTCATAGATGGCACTTTAATGCAGAAAATGCAAAAACCAACCGTCTCGATATCTTCAAAGGTGTGGCGACACGGCCTGCTACAAGGGAGCATGTAGTTTCATGCTGGCCGTACCTTTTCCTACGGACTGGTGCGTCTAAAACAGTCGTACGAAACGGTCGAGGAAACGGTGTTTGTTCAGGAGGAAACTGGTTGGTACTAGACTGTCTGGGATCGGAGGTGCCCTTCATTTAAAAAGAAAATTAAAACATTGGAAATTTTTACCTCAAATTCAGTACTAATAGTTTGACTTGCTCAAAAAAATACTTAAAATAACTTTATCGCAAAGATTCTAGTACCAACCATAGTCAGGTTCCCCCTGAACAAAACACCGTTTCGTACGACTGTTTTGGACGCACCAGTCCATGGGAAAGTGTACGGCCAGCATGACGCCACACCTGAAACACGCCATCTCCCACCAGGCGTGTCGCCACAGTTTTCAAGCGATCGGGTCGTTTTTACTTAAGTTTTGTAGATGAAAGTACCATCGATTAAACGGTGTTTTGTACAGTTTGCGAAGAGCTATAGTTTTTTTTAAGTAATTCCCAAAATTACCCTTGTTTTTGAGCCGTTACACTAGGACCCCCCCTTAAACAAAGGGCGGGTCTGCTTGATCGGGTTTATTTTTGATTTCTTTACTATTTTATTTTTATTTTACTCTTTTACTATTTTATTTTATAATCTTACTTTTTTCGGGTTGTACAATGACTTTTCGAAGTGACCCCCTCCCCCCCCTCGCACCAACCTATGTAAAACTGAAATGTAACTCAATTTGACGCCAATAAAACCATTTTAAAATTGAACTGTACGCTCCTGTGTCCATGTAAGGTAAGGAACCGATTTTGTCAACCATATCCCCAAATCCCCATCCCGAATCGTCACGTGTTTTTATTCGATTTTTCTGTCTTTACGCACATTAGGGGATGCTGACGGCGACAGGGGTGAGGCACAAACTTGTCCGTCTAGAAACGCTAAGACGACGTATCAGAGTGCCTCTGTACCAATTTTGACGTTTCTAGCTGCACAGTAAGTGCTCCTAATCGAGACCCGAAAAAATTATCTGCTAATTTCCGAGCCGAGAGTAGATATCTACTTGAGGCGCATACAGGCGTGCGGTACAGTATGCCTACCGTCGACCACGGCGGCGCCTTATGGCCCTGTACGGCCCGAGTATGCAACCCGCCCGCAGGCCTGCATCCGGTGCAGTATGTAAGCAAAATAAAGGAAGGGGTCTGTGGGCCACCGTGTTAAGCGCTTTTTGATTCCTTTTCTTCTTCTAAAAGCGCTATTTAAGCGCCAAAAGGCGATGGTGTTCTACTGGGGCAATTTTCATTTCTGTCTATGGGTAAAAGCCTGTAAAGGCCCTTTCCGGAGAAGGCCTATAGCGCGACACTAACGCGGACGAAATTTCCCCAACGACAAATAAATTGTTTTCTGGTTTCCGCTTGGTTCTCTTTCCGTATCGAGAGTAAAAGCTAGCTGACACCTTAAAGTTACTTATAAATTCTTTATGTTTAGTCAAATGGTTTTTAAGGTATCATCTGCTACAAAGAAGAGTCCAAGCAGCGCCGGAAGGCGCAAACACTGAGTGGGCGCCACTCAGTTTTCAGTGTTATCTTTAAAACGCAGAAATAAGGTTTCTCTTTTAAAAAGCTAAAATTTTATTCAATTAAAAAACAATAACAATTCTTTTAAAACTACTTACAGTCACTTGTTTGTGGCACTCGTTCTTCACACACCGGTTCGGTTTCAATTGTTTCAACGTAGCACCCTTGACATTGATTATTAAGAATGATCAGCAAAGAATAGGCAATGTAACAGCGTCAACACAGTATAGCTCAGCAACTCTTCAAATCAAATAGGCACGAAGATGCGAACTCAGCATTTTCAGATTTTCCATTGTTGGTATGTAAAGGTATCAGCTTCAAAAACAACGACGACATCTTGACACGTCGAGTAGTGTCGCCGCAACGCTCTGCGGCGCTCTGGCTCGGGCGGTATCAACATCACAGACAGGGGGTGGGCGCGACCTGCGACCCATCAGTAGGACACCTCGGTCACCTTGGTGTGGATGAAGAGCGTGGCCGGCTCCAGCGCCCGTCGCTTCATGTCCACGAGCGGCACATGCGAGTACCCCGGGGCCATGGATAGGACCGGCAGGGCGTAGGCCCCGACGACGGGGTCGTGGCGCCGAGGTGTCTCGTCCTTCACAATGAAGTACACAAAGGCGAGCTCCGGAAGGTTGATGACGAACTGGAATGTGCAGTCCCACCGAGGGTTGAAGCCTGCAAACCAACACAGAGGAATGGAATAACACTAGTGTGAAAAATACAACATGTTTCTCAACTGCTTACTGATGCATTAGCCTACCACAAGGCGTTACTTAAAGGCGGTAGGCACGCTTTTTCGCACGCTTGGAATGCGGTAAAGTAACTAAAACGTCCCACACGGCTTTTTTTAGCCACCTGGTCGGTTGGTCGGTCTGTGTCGCTCAGGCGCGGTTTTACGTCCGGCTGACAGGGGGCGAACCGTTGTGAGTTGCCTACTACATACAGGAGTTTTGAACTGCAAACTGCCTATCTCTCAGGCGGCTTTCTACGGCTGACAGGGAGAGAGACAACCCCTGTCGCCCTGGGGGTTGCTTGGCAGCCTCGCCGTTAGGGCTAAAAGTTCTCCGCTTTTTTTCCGATAATTTTCCGGAAACTTTCCAGGACTTCCCACCCAACTCACCGTTGTCGTTGATGACGTGCGTCTGTCGCTTCCTCTTGTCCATCGGGTGGCCGATGATCTTCACCTTCACGTACGGGTCCAGGATGTCGGTCAGGCCCTCGCCCTCGGGCTTAGGCAGGTGCTGGCCGCTGATGACCCTGATCTCCAACAGCCGCCTCCTGTCTTTCAAGGCGTGGAGCTGGTTGATGCAGTTGGCTGTCGGGGTGTAGCTGAACTTGGCGCAGTCGGGCAGCCTCAGGTAGTCGGGCTTGAGTACGAAACCGCAGCCGCCATTGTCACCGAACTTGGCCTCGTTGATGAATACGGGCTTTCCATGGCCTTGGTAGTTCAGCGCCGCTACAGAGTCGAATGGAATGAGAATGACTTGTGCCGTAACAACTGCTATTTGTAGACTGGCGATGGGGAGAGCTTACCGATCTGGCAGCCCGCGTTCCAGTACGGCCAGGGTTGGAAGTTGGTGGAGCCGGTCCGCGTGCCCGCCGGGTAGACCTTGCTGAGCCGCCGGGTGTTGAACTCCACGAAGGCCTCGGCGCTCTTCTCGATCAGCTTGGCGGCCTTGCTCTCCGACAGCGACACCATCTCGTAGCACTTGCCGGCTGTAAGCCGAAAACGACGTGGTAGTATCGGTGGCCTCGTGTCGCAGTGCACTGCGCATGCGCGCTCGACTACGCTGCTGTACTTACGCTCCTTGAAGCCGTGGAAGTGTGTTCCCTGGCACACGTTCACCAGGTCGCTGAGTTTCTGGTCCGTGACCTTCTCCAGCTGCGCCGCGGTGGACGGCTTCCTACGCGCCGCGCTCACCTTGCGGACGGCGGGTTTGTGCGCGGCCGGGCCGGCGTCCTGCGCGGCCGGCGAGGGCGGCCTGGACGGCTCGCTCTCGCTGCTCGACTCAGAGGACTTCTTGCCGTTGCTGCGGCCGTTGGGTGGCGACAGCGAGTCCATCTCGTCGTCGTCGTCCGACTCGCTCTCGGGCGTCTGCACCGGCGCCGCCTTGCGCCCCTTGATGAGGATGCGGTGCTTGAGCTCCTCCGGGGAGGGCAGCGCCTCCAGGTCCTCGGGGACGTCCTCCAGGTACAGGAGATCTACAACAGCAAGCAAGCTCAATGCGAGTTCTTTGCCGTGGCGCGGGTACTCTTATCGCTGGGAATGAACAACTTTTATGACGGATCGTAAAAAAAAAAAGAATTGAGCACAATCTGGCGAGCACGTGAACATGTCACTCGGCTACTCACCGCCGAACACGTCGCTGATGTGAAAGGCCAGCCTTTTCTGCTGTTCGGGCGTGCAGTGGTTCTCAAGGGACAGGATCACGGGGTACTCGGAGCAGACAAAAGCGTTTGGGAGGATAGCGTCCTTGAGCACCTCGCGGAAGATGAGCTTGGAGGTGAGCGCATAGCCGTGCGTCACGACGGGCTCGCCGTCCGGGCCGTCCCAGCAGTCCACTGTCAACAAATTTGGAGGTCAGGGAAGACCACGGGGACGCAGAGGAGTTGCTGCATCGAGCTGCCTGCACCACTGCACCACACTTACGTTCCAGACACCTGCATCCCCTTCGGAGAGCTTCGACGTAGCCTTCGATCGTGCTGTCCGCGACCACCTGCCGTCCCAGCAGGTACCTGCAGAGAAATGTAATCAATATTTTGAACATGTGAATGCTGTATAGGGTGGGTTGTGCGCCAATCACACAATGTGACAACCTACGTGTTGTGGCTGCTGGCGATGTAGTAGCTGCTGAGGGGCTGAGTCATGTCCTGGTACACGGTCTTGTGGGCCACCTTCCTCACTTGGAACTGTTCGGAGCGGAGCATGTGCGTGAAGCCTGCGGACAGAGAGCGGCCGAGCGCGTGAGAAGAAACGCCGGGGCCATAGGCAACCCAACGCCCATGGGCGCGAGCGGGACACAGCCCAGCGAACTTCAAGCACGAGAGGAAACGCAATGGCCAGCGCCAGGACAATGAAACCTTTAAAATGTTGTGCACATTAAGAATACCTATGTCTATGAACGCTACACCTGAATGAAAAGTTTATATTTAAATGCTTCAGCTACAAATATTCGTGAAGTTTTTGACGGTGCAGTAGAAGTAGACTCGGGGGAAGCGAGACGGGTCAGACGGAGAGGCTCACGATGACATCATGCGTGAATCCTGAGTGAGATGATGGCAACGAGCCGTAGGGGGAGGAGCTTGACTCTGCGAAGTGGAGAAGGAGGGAGGGAGGGAGGAAAGGGAGAGAGAGACAGAGCGACAGAGATAAGAGAGAGAAAGACAGACAGACAGACAGACAGACAGACAGACAGACAGACAGACAGACAGACAGAGACACCCTTTTTGGTGCAAGAGAGACTCTCAGAGTCAATCGGACCATTTTCGAATTCTAATACGACCCCACCTTCTTCTGATTCCGTCAGTAGAAAGGAATCTCATTAAGGAATCACGCTTGAAACTCCTCACCGTGCACCGAGATGCGGCCGCTCGCTTTCAGCTCCGACTGCTCGAAGGCGTCGATGAGACAGCGACACTCGTCCAGCGTCGCCTCCGACATGTTCTGCTCCTTCTTCAGGAAGTGCTGCAGCTCGTGGGCCGTCATCTCCCGCGCGCTGCGGGCGTACCTGCACACATTCACATCGCGTGGCGTCAGCTGTGTTGAGTGTGCGTGCCAAGCGTCCCGCCTGGTCCCGCCAGTCTGGCCGGGGGCGTGGTGCGGGTGGTAAGGCTCCTTTAATAGTGTTAAGAGTCAATTGGGTAAACTGTGAGGCTGTGTGACGAGGCCATATTAAGAAACATCCGTACACTGTAAAAAGAATGTCAGACTTTTTAGGAATATTGGTGGAATTTCCTACTTTTTTAAGATTTCCTCAAAATCTGAGTAGTTTTTTTGTTTTTGTTTTACAAATATAGGAGGTCCTCAACGTGCTCCCTTTTCCCTCAAAAACTCAAAGACTTAATAAAAGCCGGTATGGGCTCATTTGTTGAAAGTGCAGCGACAGCTCTGCAAGTTTGCAAGTGAAAAGGGTAAAATTCTGTTGCTAGAATAAATACCTAGCTAGGGTAACAAGCTGTTCTTCGGGAATAATGAAGGGCATGTATGTACTCTTGGCACCTGCTTCCTTACCTGTGGTAAATGTCCTCCACCTCCGGTCTTCTCATAAGCAGCTGATAGAACTGGACGAACTCCTTAGCGTCCAGCGACGGTTCCTCATTGGGACCCTGGGACTTGTTTGTGTCGGCTAGCTGCAATAGAGACGCATGTCCGCGGTCAAGAACGTCTTGGCAAACCACACGACTTCCCGCGTGAGCCTTCACAAAGGGATCATCCAGGAAGTACGTTCTTTATTGGACGTTACGGAAGTGTTAAGTTCCGCCGGTGCACTGGCACTGCAGTGCAAGCTCACATAACGCCTGATAGGTAGGCAGCACATTGTCTGCAGTGCAAGCTCACATAACGCCTGGTAGGTAGGCAGCACATGGTCTGCAGTGCGTGCCTGTACTGCGGGATGGCCTACCCCGTGTCTCGCAGGCGCTGAGCTCGCGCAATTTACCGAATGAATCTGAGAAAAAAGGACGCGTACTTTCCGGACGATTCCTCAGTCGGTCCGGGTTTTGGGATACATATAAGGTATTGATCACTCACGTTGAAGATGCAGAGCGCCTCCTTCTTGCTCATCTTGACGTTGAGCCGGAGCAGCAGCCGGAGGCACTCGTCGAAAGCCAGCGACCCGCTGTTGTCCTGGTCGGCGGCCACGAACTGGTTCTTCAGCCACCTGGGGTGACGGACGGGGAACATCGCGTTAATGGTCAACGGAGACGGTGGGTAAAGTGAAGCGATCACTACTTACATGTTGAACCTCTTCTCCTGATTCAGGCCACGCATCACCGTCACGACGTGGCGCAGGGCGCGGACCCACACTGCCGCCATCTGTAAAAGACAAAGGCGCCAACGTGAACATGAGCGTCGAACGGGCTGAAAGCAGTCTGCTAACTGGCAAACTATTTTACACATTTGCAGGGTTTGAACGTTAAGCGTACTTATCCTCACTCACCTGCGGGGAGCTCGCCACCAGGTCCAGGCTGCCGCGGCTGTCGCCATACACGACCGAGAAGCAGCACGCCTCGTCCACGAGCGGCTTGCCGGGCTCCTCCGCCTCCCCGTCAGAGCCGAGCCGCTTCATGACCTTGCTCTTCAGCCGCCGCTGCTCGCCCACCACCTTGTTGCCGAACTTGTTGAAGGTGTCCGTCTTCCAGCCTCGGCGCACATCTAGTATCTCGCTCACCTCAACTGCAACACGGTGCAATCAAGCTAATTTGTCTCACTACACGTAGTGATATTGATCTTAAATCAAATGCGAAATGCTCTTCATTCGATTATTGAGTGCATTTCGCACTTGAACCAAGGAGTTATTTATGATAGGAAAACATTGGCTGTGGCAGCCAAAGCCACTTCCACTCTAACTACACCACATTAACTATGAATGCTTAACTAAAACAGCCAAAGCGACTCCCCGCAACGACTTTTTTGGTATTGCACTTGATTTTGTTGTTCGGTAGTCACCGGCAGCCAAGACATTGCTCCTAGCTGCTCCTAGCTACTCCTAGCTAACTTTCGGCTAGAGCAACCCTTTTTTTAAAAAAATCCGTACAGATTTTAACGTCAAGCCTGCTACACAATGTTCTTCAACAAGTTACAACTTCGTCCTTAGAAGAAAATATGCTAAAAACGTCATGAAAACGTAATATTTCATCGAAAACAAAAGTCCCACCTAGGTAAAGTGTGATCGCTTCACCTCCGTCAATAAATGTCGGCATCGCTTTGAGGCTCCCTCGAGGACTACTCCAACCTTGATTAGCTAAAAGCACGTAAAAGTGCCCCGCCCCATCGGGACAATCACGATCAGAAAGCCGGGGGCCGACCGCCCCGCACAGTCTTCGCTCTGTAGCTGTCGGCCCGGCCGCTGCGTTCGGCTTTGCGTGTGGGTAAATGGCAGGCCAATCGAATCGCGTTCTGCCGGGAGCGGCGCAAAGCGACGCTGGCGCCTCAAGTCGAGACTGACTCAACAGTCTCAGCGAGCACGAGGATCACACTCTACTTACAAACGATACTAAGTTTCATTCACACTGGTAAAACAAGTGTGCATAATTTAAACACCAATAACGTGTGCAAGTTATGATTTTAAACAGAGTTTAGCTTAAGTTGCATGCACTTGCGTGGTGTGCACATTTTAAACGTTTTGTAACCGTTTAGAATTTGCACACTTGGACACACAAATCTATAGGAACCATGTGGTGTGCAGCTGCTATACTTTTCGAAAGTGTCGAAAGTTTAAACACCAATTGACGTTTAACCTAGTTAAACACCACCATGTGTTGAGAAAATGCACACTTTGAACTTAAACACCAATTGGCGTGCAACATTAAACACTTGTTTCACCAGTGCATTAATCACTTTAAACTTCCTGTACTTACTGAATCTGGGCTCATTGAAACACTGGTTCTTGTGGGTGGGCTCGTACTTGAGCATGCCGTCGGAGCTGTCCACAAAGTACTTGCGGTGGTACCACTTGGAGAAGGAGCGCACTTTCCACATCTGGGTGCCATTGTGAATCACCTCCAGGTCGTCCTCGGCGGTCTGTGCTCGAGCCACGGCCTCTGCGGACAGAACATGGGGCATGAGGGTGCAAGCGCGCTAGGACAGGGGGGGAGGGGAGTGGCACCAGATAGCGGCCTAGAAGGTAGGCAATATCGGCTACAAAACCCATGTTATATTGACAACTTAGTGTGCAATATTTGCACACCAACTTGTGATTTTGCACATTACATGGAATCTAACTTGCGTAATGTGCAAATTGTATACCTTTTGTAAACGTCAGAATGTTGCCCCCCAGGACACACAATACTATGCTAGCAGTGGGAACCAGATGGTGTGCAGCTGCTGTACGTTTCGGAAATGTCAAAATTTGCACACCAATTTTGACTATAATTTAATGTGTCTAAACTTTGCACACTTAAATTAAAGACCAATTGAAAACTTCCTTGCGAAAAACTTCTCTTCGTAACATACAAATAATTTCGAATAATTTGAAGCCTTTGTACCAGAAAAAAATTCTGCTTTGTATTACGATATCATCCAGTTTTACAGAATAACAAACAGGGGCTGTTCGCATAATATGAAGAAAAGTCGTTTGTATCTGGATCCCTTGTACGTTTCAAACCCAATCCTTGGTCACGAACACTGCTGTTTGTAAGGAACTAAGAGTGGGTGGGTCTAGAAAGGGATTGGCATGAGGATGAACTTCCCCGCACGGGGTGTGGTGGTGTGGCACACCGTGGCAGGTGGCAGGCCCTGAGTGGGGGGCGGGGGCGAGCGGGAGAGCCTGCTGCGCCGCCGACTATCACGATTGTGACGGTCAAGGTCGGGCAGGACTGTGTGTGTAGAACGTAGCGGGAGGTGCGGCACTATGGGACATAGGTGATCTCATCTATGTCTGACAGTGTTAAGATCGATTAAGATGCTGAAAAACATTGACACATTATTTCGCGTCATTAAACAGTTATTCCTGATGTCATCAATTATTGGAAGATTGCTGAACATGCACTGGAAACGCAAGTGTGTGAATGTCGCACACTTGTAGGTGTGTGAATATCCATTCGTGCACTTAGGGGGGTAAACGTGTGAATGTCCTAGGAAAAATTCACTCCGTTACCCATCTAGTGTACGAATGGATATTCATACACCTACAAGTGAGCGACATTCACCGACATTCACACACTTGCTTTATCAGTAAATTCCTGCACTATAAACTAGTTGGCGTTTTTTTACACCAAGTGGTTGGCGTCCCCTAGAAAGCGTTCTTCTCCTTAGAATGTTTAGAACGCCAAAATCTGGCGTCATTTTGGGTTAGATAAGAATTGCTGTCACTCACTCACTCGCTCACTCACTCACTCACTCACTCACTCACTCACTCACTCACTCACTCACTCACTCACTCACTCACTCACTCACACCATACACACATACCCCGTCACATTCCCCCACCTTGCACCGCTCGCTCCTCGTGCAGCGCGTTGGGGTCGTAGCAGCACGGTGGAGGAGCAGCCAGAGTGTTCCCCATCACGTCGTGGCGTGGCTGCGTGAGCGGGAGAGGGAGGGAGCGGCGAGCGAGAGAGAAGTGGAAGTAAGAAAGAGACAAGAGCGCAGCAGGACCAAAGAGGATTCGGGACGCACATGTCCTCAGCTTAGTACTTTGGCCTAGATCAAGACCCTTCTTGGGGTATTAATGACTTTAATGACTAAAAGATTAGCACCCCTAGAAAGACACTAAAATGCCCTAAAGGTGCGAAATTTTACAGCCTTTGACACTTATGTGTCTTTATAAAGGCTCTAAAATTAAGAGCCCTTACCTTTGTTTTTCCAGTAAAGTTGTACTTTAGACCCTACTGAAAATACCAGGTGCCCGTCTGTAGTTATACTGTACCGGATGCCGGACGCAGATAGATATGCACACGGGCTTGCCTATCGCTCCTGACCACGGCGACTTTTACGGGCCGACCCAACCGCAGATGGGAATGCGGTACAGCGGTACAGTGCGTAGGGTTAAGCAGGTTAAGCAGCCACCTGGTACACACTAATTTGGGGGGGGGGCGATTTTTAGACAGTCCCCTATTGTACGAGGGGTGTCCTTGTGCACATCTAAATCAGATACAAATGATATTACCACCAACTTCAAGTGAAGGGTTCGGCACATTCTGGGGGGAGAACGAAGCCTCTAGCTACACATTGACGGGTAGCGAACGACGCAAAAATTCAAGATTTCGGTAGGGGGCTTGGGGGCCGCATTAAGTTGAAATTTGCCCCCATTTCGAGATGTGTTCAGTGGGTCTAAACTACAACTGTGTAAGATTTCAAGGCTTTAGCTGAAAGTGGAAAGTTGAGGCGAAAAATCCCGCGAAAAATGGACGTTTGTTTGCGTCCCCCAACTATGGTGGCTGCCCGTTTCTACCTCACTCGCTTCATCTCTCTTCCTCTCCCTTGGCTACGTCGCTGGTCTCGCGAGGTGCGGGAGCCGCGAACAGCACCGCAACCATAGGCGCGCTGGGGAAGGTGCCGGCAGACTGGCTCAGCCCCAGCGGGCTGCTACTCCGCCCCGCCCCCGATCATCCCCTATACTCATCCCCCCCAGGCACCCTCCCCCCTCCTCCCCCAACGCCAACCCTCTCCAGTTCCGCAGCGCCACTGTGACGCCAGGCCGGCGTTGGCGTTTGCAGGGAAACCATCGATTTCTGTCCCGCGGCTTGCCTCTCAGCCGGGCTCGCAGTCCAGTCAGCCCCCGGCAGAGCAAGGCTCGGCAAAGCCCCGGGCGAGGGACAAGGCCGCTCGCTCGCCCCACACACTAACTGGATTTGAATTTTTTATTTGTATGAATTCAAGCAATGAAATTGTTTTGCACACATTTTTGCGTTGATTTGAACACCTTCAATTTCGTACATGGTAAAAACAATGTCTGAATTTTTGATAGGAAAGAGAAAACTCTAAGGATCCCCTGAGGAAAACTCGACAGATTTCGAGCAAGTCGCCTGAACAAAGGTGGGATTTTCCCGCTTTTTCGAGATTTCTCAAAATCTGAGGCGAGACACGGAAAATAAAGATTCGCTTTGCCAGCTAATATATATTCGCTAGTATTTGGACAGATAACCTAGTAAGATTCTGGAATTTGCTGTATGAGCTATTCTAACCGATTATTGACCGTGGTAGTCGATTATTCACCCTGGTAGATAATATGCCGAATGCCGATGAAAGGAACATTGACTCCCAGAGTCAATAATCAGCTAGAATAGCTCATATAACAACTCCAGAAACTTATTCGGTTATCTGACCAATAAATACCAGAGAATATATTAGCTGGCATAGAGCGAATCTTTTTTTCCGTGGATCTGACGAGTTGTCCTCAGCCACCTGGTATACAGGTAGAGAGTAGCGTTTACATTTATCCAGCGTCTGCACACACTAAATTTTTATGAACTTTCTGATAGACACCTACGTATTTCCCTGTGCATGCCCTATTGCGTACTATTTTAAACGCCGCTATGAACAAAATTGTTCTCAATTCAAAATTTATTTTTTTTAATTTTTTTTTTTAAATTGCGCTTAAAATAATACGTAATGGAGCACGCACAGGGAAATGAGTAACCTGCGTACAAAAAAAGTTCATTACAATTTAGTGTGCACAATTGCGCGCGGTTTTCAAAATCATCGAAAGAAAATCCATTGAAAACTTTTAGAACATTGATTTTGTTTTGTTTGTGGTCTCAAATCAAGAGCTGAATGTTCTTGATATTTCTATTATACCCAAATATCAAGTTGACTGTTTTCTGGGTGAGACAGAACACTTCAAGACGGTAGGGCTGATCATTTCAGGGAAAGTGACCCGCACCGACGCTCGCCGTGTCCCCTGTCCTGTCTCGACCGGGTCTCGCGAACCAGTGTGTCTGGTTAGGGTCAGCCCCCTTGCGGCAAATCTTCCGCTCGGATATCGCCTTGGCGAGTTC